CGTGGGAAAGGCGACGAGTGCGGTTCCAGTGCTCAGGGGGTCCAGATGGGCTGGAGACAGACAAACTTGACCCGGAGTGGAGAGCGACCAACCGGGGCCTGGGGGTGGGATTGGGGGCTAAGCATGGCAGGGACCAGAGGAGGCAGAGCCAGTCTGAGCCCCAGGGCACATCCCAGAGAATGGTGACTATTAAGAGACTGGAGCATTTGAAGCCCATTTATCTTAGGAAGACAATAAAGCCACTAGGAGTGTTTTGTTTTGTTTTTAATTAACCAGAAGAATTGCTTACTGGTGTGGGTGTTTGTCTTTCAGCTAGGGGTGTGCTGGTCCCGAGCATGGTAAGTACAGGAACGAAAGAAGGAAGGTCTGGAAATCAATCCCAAATTTGAGGCATAATTTACTAGTGCTCCTTTCTAACCCAGGGAATAATTTCCTAAAGATATCATTTCTAAGGCCGATGTATTAGTTTTCTTGAAAAGCTTGATCGCTAACAGAAACTAAAAGAAAACGAAGGAAGAAAACAAACAAACACACCAAATGTTAGCAAGTACATTTCTTAACAATGATATCGGGGGGAGCACGTCCGCAGGACCCCACTACCTAATTATTAATTCAAGTTTCCCGCATTTGGGGAAATCGGAGGATCAACAATCCTCGAAAGCATTGTGTGAGCCTTGTCTTGGGATAACAACCAGCGTGAGAATAGAGTCTCCTCCATGAGGTGAATAGACTTGAATACTGCAGCACAGACTCAGCCCCACAGGCCCGTGCTCTGAACACAAGATCACTTAGCTGCACTTGCTCCAGAACCTGCCTGGACATCAACCCAATTCCTGTGCCCTGCTGCCACCCTCACTCTCTTCCAAGCCCTGCTGGAAAATCCTCACTTTTCCTCAGAGGGTGGGGACTCCACAGCCCTGTGTGACAGCTTATCTGCATAGACCACGCCCCCAAACCAAGACTGCTCACTGCCAAGGCCTCTCAGCATTGTCTCCTGTTTTGGTGTGTACTGGCAGACCCCTATCTTCTGCCAATAGGAAGTGAGAAGTCAGGCAGCAAGACAGCCAGCCCTACAGCAGAGGTCTCCAGCTTCCCTGGAACCTGCCTACCTCATGTCTCCACCACTGCATTTTACAAGGCTCTCAATGTATGGATGTCTCTGCTCTCTTCTACAGAAACACCATGAGACTGACACTACGTTGGGACACGGTATTTGGGGTGTCCCGAGTCTGTGTTCCTGGTCCAGGGGATCCACTCCGCCCTCTCTTGGCCTCCTCAGGTTCCTACTGGTGCTGAGAAGAAAACGTGGAGTGGGCATGTCCAGATTTTAAAGACTGCCTGGTGCATGTGCATAGGGACTTGGCTAACAAAGCTGTGGCTTCTGCAGGGTGGATCAAGATCACAAAGGGCTTGAGAGCCCTGGGTGGCTATGTAAGACGCAAGAGCGCTTGATGACACAGGTATGACCTGGAACCTAGAAGTGCCAGCACTTGGGGTGGCCAGACATTTGCCAGAACACTGAGTGATGAAAATGATAACGTTTCATCCTGTTGTTTATTAGAAAAGTTGTGGGGGGATAAGGGTGACAATAGGTGGGAATGTGGCGTTCCGTCTCTCAGGACTGCTTCCTGCTGATTTGTGGGCATTGGAAAGTTGGTATGCTTGGCCACATCCTGAGGTGGATGGTTACTTCAGTGTTTTCTGGGCTTTGTGGAACTGGCTGGCTGTCGGCTTGAACCCAAGAAGATGCTGGCAATGCAGAAGATTACCTTTAGAAAGATTTTGATTCTGGTGATAAACTTTGAGATCCTGGTGATTGAGGAAGGAAGGTCCCAAGATGGAAGATAGAGTGGGCTCTGCAGAGTTCCCAAGAATGAGGAGGGAGATTCTCAGGGGTCCCATGACCAGGGAAGAGTTGCCACGTCCTGTAGCACATAGCATGCAGGGTCGGAGTTTCACTAGAAATCGAGGTCCCCATTGAAATTGGAAACTTGGGATCCCTGAGAGAGGCCCTTGGCAATGGTGAGGTTGAATTGAAGATGGGTATGTGACTATGTGTTTTTTCATTTCCAGACTTTACCCAATAGTGATTCCAGGTAGTAAGGCACCACAGGAGGCACAGCTGAGACCGGGAATTAGAGACTCTCTGAGAGATGCTGTCTGGAAGACTGGCCAGCAGGAAAGTAATAAAGAGGATGCAGGAGGGTGAATGGAAGGTCTCGAAAAGATGGAATGTGCACAGAGAAGATGGATTATGTATATTATTGTGTTTTCTTTGAATTTTTTGACTGTGAAGGAGCTAAGTACAGAGAGACATTTCATTGTATGTGTTGCTAATAAAATCAGCATGTATATTATAATGGTATCTTGACTTCAGAATTTGAGTCTAAGGATATGTTGCTTTGGAAAAGAGGTTCTTATTTTGTTTCCACAGAAGATGAGAACCTTTGGAAACATTCCAGGCTAATGTGGTTTGATGAATCAAGACCTCGTGAAAGGTTGCTGGGAATACTCCCCCAAAATAACTTCACCCAACTACAGCAGGAAGTAATTTAGAGAGCATGACACCCAAATTTCCTAAATAATTGTTTACTGAAGGTTGTGGGGCCTAGGGTGACTCTATAGGTGTCTGCAGTGAGGGAAGCCAGAGCCGTCCAAACCCCACCAGGCTGCCCATCTGCATAGAGGCAGCAGAAGTCCCTGGATCTGTGTGTCCAAGGGTTTGCAGTGTGAACAGTGGGTTAGGGACCTGCACAGCAGTCGCCGCCAAAGGTCCCTAAGAATACCTAACACCCCAGCTCCCAGTGACAGCAGGAGGTACATCATCCCAGCAGGTTTGATGCCAGGCCTGGTAGAGCCACCCTGGCTGGTTTTTGTGGTGCACACCTGTAGGATTTGCTGAAGGAAGAAGAAGAAGGAGGATCTGGAGTTTGAGGACAACTTCCAAGCTATCCAGACTGAGACTTTGGGATCTACCCAAAGCCAGACTGAGACTGCAGTGGGCACTGTTGTCATCACTGTGGCCTCCTTGGCATCTGGAATTGCCATCTGCCACACAGCTGATATGATGTCAGTCCAAAACCTTGTTTTAACTATATGGAAAAGGGGAGATGTTGGGAAGTGTAGACCCTGACCCTGAATTCTCTGTGACCCCCTGCCTGTCAGAGTCAACAGTTTGCTTTCTTATGCTTGCAGTTGCTCTGGGCAAACAGCTTGTTTTCTTGTGTTTAGAATGAGACCCACAGGAGTTCCTGATGGTAGGGGGAATGGTTTCTGGTGGGCTTTCAACTGAGAGTTAGAGCATGGCCATTACTCAAGGAGACCCTATTTAAGCTGCCCTGGAACAAAATAAAGAGAAGCATTTGTGGTTTCTGTCTCTCTTTCTCTCTCTCTCTCTCTCTCTCTCTCTCTCTCTCTCTCTCTCTCTGTGTGTGTGTGTGTATGTGTGTCTTTGGTTGGAAGTGATCCAATCTACTAATAGAACACATGACTAGGAGAACAGAGTCAGGTGCAGGGACTGGAGAGACAGCTCATTCATTAAGAGCATTTTTTGTTGTATCAGAAGACCCACATGTCAGCAAACAACCATATTAAATGTGTTTTCCATGTGGAATCTACTGCTCTTATCTGGACTCAGTGGGAAATGCATGCATGTGGTGGCAAAACACTCACAAGTAGAAATAAAAGCACCACAAAATGACCCAACATGTCTTGGATGACATTATTTCTGCTGTGTGGTTATCATTTCTGCATATCATTCGCATTTCAAGAAAACCAGAGGCAGATTACTTTGCATTTCCTGATTTCTTTTGTACATTCCTTTATTGAATGTTCTCATTTCCTGAGAGGACAGGAACAATGTAGTTGTGTGATGTCGGACGCCTCTCTGTATGCTGTGAATATGTTTACTACCGTTAGTAAATAAAGAAGCTGATTTAGCCAATGGTAAGGCAGATTATAGCTACACAGCAATTCCAAACAGAGATACAAACAAATGGAAGGCAAACTTGGGAAATGTCATGTAGCCACTGGAGGAGTGGGAGGTCGGAGAATTATTGGTAAATCACAACCATGTGGCCATACACAGATTAATAGAAATGGATTCATTTAAATGTAAGAACTATCTAGTAATAAGCCTGAGTCATTGGCTAAACAATTATAATTAATATTAAG